ACTCCTGACTCCTCTTGACCCTTTAGGGTGGATTAGGACTGTCAACAAAGTCTCCCTGGCTGTCATCTTTAGTGCAGCAGATGGCCCGTCATTAGCCCACGGAGGGGCTGGCGGCTTTCAATCGTTCACCTTTGATTTGCGGACAGGCACGTCGATCACCAGGGCCCAGGACTCCTTGGAATGGTCTTCAAGAGGCAGTGAGACCCCAAAGACCAGACGTCAAGTGTGAGGCCAATACAAGACCAGGGCACCTGAAGCCAAAGATTGTGGTGTGATGTGTTGAGCCTGTCTTTCCTAAAAGCTGTGAAGATAAAAAAGAAAAAGATAGAGGCTTTTCACTATGTCCACCCAAATGTTGTACAAGTTAGAATTGAGTGGGGAAAACAAGGCCCTTTTCTGACCATAGTTCACTGTCAAGAGTCCACTGCAGGCCTGGAAGGCATCATGACATTGGACTTCTACTCTCTTAACCAGTTTCTCATGTTATCCGATTTCTTTCTGTCTTTTTTAATTATTTCTCTCTCTCTCTCTCTGTGTGTGTGTGTGTGCGCACTATCAAATCTGACTGGTACAGGAGGAGATTGTTCTTCCTTCTCCAGCAGAACATCTGGTGGATTCGAACCATGCACCTCTGGGATTGCAGTGCAGTTACTTGCCACTAGGCCGCCAGAGCTCACCATGTGACCTGATTTCTAAAGTAGTTGCATTGCACTAATGAAGCCTGTAGTGTATAATCAGACGATTATAGGAGCAGCTAGAAAGAGAGCCCCAGTGGGCTGGTGGTAAGAAGATGCACTGCAGCCCCAAAGGCACATGGTTCATATCCACCCGCTTCTGTGAAAGAGGAGCCATCTCTTCCTGTGCAATTTACTGCTTCAGAAAATCTGCTGCAGGGTCAGTTGTGGGTCGATGTAGACTCCAACAACAACAACGATGTACTGTTGAAGGTGTGTTATGAAAAGAGACTCATTCAGCGTCATTGAAAGTTAGCCGAGAAGACACTTGTTTTGCTGGGCAGTGTGAACACGACCGGTTTGGTCTGGAATCCAGCATGGAACCCTCATTTTCTTGCATCTAACGAGACACGGGACCCACCCCTGTAGTTTGGTGTTGCACAGTGTCTGCATTTTACCCGAGGAGGAGGAGGAAGGCCAGCTGACACATTGTCAGAGCTTTGAAAATAGTAATTATTAATTCAGCCAAAATGGCAAGTTGTTAATTTCCTATCCACCGAGGATTCCCTTAGCATTTCCCTATTAAAGTTTTGATTCGGTATTAATATAACTGCACAACAATGAGAGAGAGAATATTAAGCTCTTTTAAGAGCAAATCTAATTTGCATTTCTCTGAAGCCTCTTCCCATGGGGTATTGTTAGAAAGATAGCTGTGGCTTTTCTACGTCCTTTGTATCAGTTGTGTTGGGGGGAGGGTGTCAGCATTTGGTAGCATCTCCTTTATAATTGTTTACTGTCACCGGCTTGTTTTTATTATGTAAGATTTCACGTTTTGATCTGTCGTTGTTGGTCTAATAAACTCTGTACAGAATTTAAGAGGAATTATGTACTAAATGTTTTTAAATGAGCTCATTGAAACTTGATAGGACAGCAGTGATGTTTGCTCCTTCTGACTTCGCCGTTTTCTTAAAGGCTTATTCTGAAATGAGGGCTGTTACCTCTCAGTCCTCTCTGGTTCCATAAATGCTAATCCAAGCCTTCTGGGATTTCTGCCAGTCCAGTTTGTTTTTGATGAAGCCGGTGCCTTTGAGAGAGGGCCAGTGCGTGCCACAGAGACCCCAGCTGATGCTTCCTTTTGTCCTGTCTGCCCCCGCCCCGCTCCCCAGGGAACCCATGCCAGGGGAAAAACAAAAGCTGTAGCGCTCGTGTTTTTAATGTCCGGGAGGAAATGACCCCTTTGCCTCTGTCTGAGTTTAGCGCCCACCAGAAGGATTCGCGTTGTTTGAAGACGTTGTGTTCCACTCTTGAATGCAAGTGTGGCTGTGGATGTTAGCTGGGATGGAGATGGGTCCGTTCCAGCCACAGCCATAAAGCAGATTTCTGCAAGGAGCGAGTCACGGGGGTGGCTGAGTTTCCTGGTGCATCTAAAACTCTGCTGTGGTCTAGTAAGGATTCAGTAAAGCATGATGGGAAGTGAAGGACCGTGAGAATTACCAAAACGGGACACAGACACGAGACAGGCATGGGCTGCAGGGAAGGTGGCATAAACCTTACGGCATGCATAAACCTTCGATTTGCAAAAAAATATACTGCCTCTAGGAGTAAAATAAAGCTCAGTAAAACGAGCTGTGTCTGTATGATGAGGGATATTATTATTATCATTAAGAGACTGCGGCTTACTTGTGTCCCCAGCTCTGTGCTAATTAACCTTTAACCTCTGTTGTTTTCCTGGCACCCCCTGTCCCCCTTCCCCGTGGGAGGCACTGCTGTGACCCCACAGATGGTTAGGGAGCTAAGGGGTCCCCAGCTGATGTGGTGAGTGAATGGTGGGGACAGGGTGTGTTTGAGTCCATGTCTGGCCCTGTCGGGCCTCAGTGTCAGCCTCGACTCTAGATTGGCTTTCCAGGTTGAATAAGGACAGTCTATCAGGTGGGCAATGCCTAAGAATTTTTTTTTCCTTCCCCTTTTGGTGTTTCTTTATCACTTAGCTTCCATTTTTTCTAATATTGCTTATCTCTTCCGGCCGCCAAACAGAATAGTGTAACTTCACAAAGAAGCGATGCCCACGTCAGCCTTATTTTTAATAAGGGTGGAATCTGATTTGGTTCCAGTCACAAGGCTGATGCTTCCTCTCTCCCTAATTTCCTTGTGATAGGACAGCATTTCATTCCGGGCTCCTGTGTACATAATACCCAGAGAGTGTGTTGAACTCCAAGCCACAGGTTTTTTACTTCAGAATTTATATATGAGGATTGTTGTTGTTGTTGTTGTTTGGTGCCGTCGAGTCATAGATGACTCATAGCGACCCTATGAACGAACGGCCTGAGCACCATTCATACATAGAGTTTCCGGAGGCAAGCCATTTCGGAAGTGGATGCCGCTCTTGCTTCCAGGCTATACATGAGGATACGTGGAATTAAATGAATGTTTCTCTGTTCACCTGGAATAGCAGAGGAAGGAAGCGAGTCAGAAGTGGAACATGTGGTTAGATGTCTCCATGGACCACTATCTCCTTTGCTAGGCGACCAGAAGAACAGAATGGTGCCTAGCTACTATAACTGAATACTGGTCAAGAGTCCATAGAAGACTGATCAAAAAGGGGAAAATGCAGAACAGATTTTCAGAGTCCAGACTCTCGTGTTTATGGGAGCCAGATGAACCCTTGAAATGACTATCCTGAGATAATCTCTAAACATTAAACCAAACGGATTTAAAACCAAACAATAGTTTAGTTTTACTGAGGGGCCTGCCTATAGCATTCTCCTCTTTGGAGAACTAACAGCGGCAGCTTGAAAGATTAGATAGGAAACGTTGGGGGCAACAGTGAGTTCATGTTGATGAGGAAGGATCTAGTCAGTTAAAGGAGGTTTAGGATGGTTGCACAGCTCAGAGAACATAATCACTGTCAAACCAGCAGGTTCGAATCCACCAGCTTGCCGCCTCCTGTGTGTTTTGCAGCCCCTGAAAACCTGCTGGAGGTTCAGCTGTGAGCCCAAGTTGATTCTGATGTAACAGCAATAAGATAATTGTTCATGTATAAACTTGAGTTAGTGTATGTTTTCAACAACAAAATCAATAAAATATAAGGAAAAAAGAAAAGTGTCTTAGCCTGAGTGGAAAACATTTTAAATATGAGGGGGGAAAATTTGTTAACACTGATTTCTCGTGAGGTATCTTGCTCCTACCTTTTCTCACTGCATTTCTTTATCTCCTCACTCCTACCCCCCACCACACATCCCCCAAATCAATGCCCACAAGCAGTCCCTTTAAAGTGGTTTCAACTTCTGTTTTCTGATTGAAACAGAAGGCCTTCTGGAAAAATTCTTCTTTCATATAATAAATCCTAACTTACTCATTAAGGAGGAAATAATTTCTTTTTATATGCTTAAAATTAGCCAGAGGTGCAAATTTAACATCTAAACACTGGGAGAAGATGCTATAATTCTTTCTGGATACAAGAAACCAAGTAAATGGCTTTATTTAGTATGTAATAAAGTGATGTTTTTATACATCATCTCCTTTAAAAAAAATTATGTGTCATCAGCCCTTTTCTGTACTGTCCCTGCCCTGTCCTCCATGTTTAAGAGTCTGCTAGTTTTATTTTTATGCAGCTAGATGATATCGGCTGTTGCATTTTAAAGGAACCTTCTCACTTTGTTCTTGTATTGCTAAATGATGCTGGCTATTTAGGGTTTTTTTGAGGCTGTTTAGGATTTTTTGTTTGTTGAAATTTTTTAATGAGATTTTATTGTAATTTTATAAAGAACTTGGATTTCCATTCATTCATTGTTGCACATTTTCCTCCCTGCCCTCCCTCCCCCCAGTTCACTTTTTTCTTGGGGAAAAAGTTCTTTCATTGTTATAAAGTCCCCCACAACCACCACTTTACTGTACAGCTCTTAGTATGGACTCTTGTCATGCCAGTAATACCTAGTGATAGATTCTTTTTGTACAGTTCTCTGCCTCATCTGTTTCAATGCCATGTACATCATTTATTCCCTCTTTTCTTTGTTTTTCCCAACCCCCATGTCACTCCTGTTTTATAACCATGGCATTATGCAGTATTTGTCTTTTTGTGACAGATATTTCACTCAGTACAATATCCTCCTTGGTCACTCATTTTGTATATTTCAAGAGTTCTTTGTTTTTCAGGGCTGCGTAATACTCCATTGTGTGAATGTACCACAGCCTCTCTGTGCATTCGTTTGTTGATGGGTTGTTTGGCTGGTTAGTTTAAATCATCAAGAAATTTTTGCTGGTTTTTGATGTTTCCTGTTTTCATCCTCTTACGCATCCTTCTCTCTCTCTCTCCCCCCCCCCATAAAGCAAATGAAGAAGCACCCCTGCCGCCAGTGTGACAAGTCCTTCAGCTCCTCACACAGCCTGTGCCGTCACAACCGGATCAAGCACAAAGGCATCAGGAAAGTGTACACCTGCTCGTAAGTCAGAGCTGCCGACGGGGGAGGGGCAGTGAGGCGTTAGCAGGGGAACGTCCACACGATTCTGTTTTTAAATCTCTGATCTGTATTAAGATTCAATTTCCCCATCTTCTCCATAGCCTATAGCCTGAAATTCTGAATTCTGTTCTGTGGCTTGGTTTGTGGTTCTCTGCCTGGATCTTAGCATTTAAAAATAAGAATATAAAAAGGTGCACACTGCATGCAAGTTCTTGTATGCTGCTTGCACCCAGAGTAATTCCTCACTGAGAGGTGGTGGTGGTGGTGGTGGTGGTGGTGTGCACCGTTGATTCAGAAATGACCCATAGCTGACCCTCTGTCAGCTTTTCAGAGGCATTTAATCGCACTGGAGGAGATTACCCAGCCTTTTGCCGCGGAGCTGCTGGTGGATTCGAACTGTATGCCTTTGGGATTGTAGCACTGCATCTTGCCACTTGACTACTAGTTCACTGAGAGGTAGAGGTCATTGATTGGCAGGTAGACAGCTGAATGAGATGCTTTCTCACCCTCCACATAGTGACTCCCTGACATTGGCCAGTGAATTTTCTCAGAGGTTCAGCCGAGGATCTGGTAGGACTTGGACTTGAGTTTGGTCCTGGAATGGCCTTGTACTCCCTGGCTGTTGGCCACCACTTAACATAGGGCAGCTTCCCCCACTACCCCAAGTTATCCTACTGACTGAAAGACTAAAAGGGAGAGAGACCGAAAGGACCAATTTAAACCTCTATCACCTAGTGGAGTGCCACACACCACTTCCTTATAGATGAAGATAAAGACTTACTATGCATGACAAATCTTTGTTGTGCACTAAATCACTTAGCTGAAGGAGAAAGTTGGGCAGTGTGGTGTTAGGTTAAAAGTTGACTTTTTTTAGCCATTTCAATTAGCCCGCTCTCATTTCCGGCTACTTTAACTACAGGTGCATAGTCTTGCAGATCACTGTGTTTTTGCAAATCGTCCACAGCTATGGGACTAGGATAAGAGAAGGAGTGCTTCCCACACTGAGCAGCAAGACTTGAGGCGAACAAGACTTGTGGCAAGACATGAGACAGACAAGAGCAAGACCCTGGTGATGGTGGAGAGACTGTGGCATTGCTGTGCAGAGACTGTGGCAAGGTGTTAGTAGAGGAGCCCTAAAGATAATGGCCACAGTTAAAGGTTTTTGCTGTTAAGGGGAAGCTGACTTGTAACAGCTTGGAGGAAAACCTTGCTGGATCATTTGGATTTGACTGCTAACTGAAATTAGAGCCTGGACTAATTGAAGAATTGTGCTTTTGAACTTGCCCTAAACTCTGGATCTGTATTGGGTGATATTATTTGTCTCTCCACTGTTCACCTTCCTTCCCTGATAAACCCTGTTTTGGGTTACCACAACTGTGAGTCAACAGTGAATAAACGAACCTCTTGGTGTTGGTTTGGCTCTAGAAGCACCATGGGTCTGGGCTGTGTCTCTTTATCCGCTTTCTGCTCTGGGGTGGTGAGGAGCTGTGCTATTCTCATTCTCTCTTTGGCCCTTTCAGAGAGGTGCTCTTGGCCCTGTGCCTCTGTGTCCTGTTTTCAGCTCTTTAGATAGGAAGCTTCCTCCTGATGGGATTTACATCTTTGAAACCTGATGGAAGGTCACTGTGAATTAGAACTGACACGATGGCACTGCGTTAGAATTTGATTCTATTAGCCAGAAGGTGCAAATTGCAGTTGACCCTTGAATCATCTGAGTTTGGAATTCACAGATCCACTTGTACAGTGATTTTCTTTTCCTATGATAGATAGGGATGAATGGAACGGCCAGCTTCTACAAAGGTGTGTTTTCTGGTTTGGGGTTGAGAGTAGGGTGTGGCTCTTGCTCATAACTGGTGTGAGCTGATTGGATTTGGCTTCGTATTTAAAAAGGCTTTTGGTCCCTCAGGCCTCTGGTCCTCAGGCCTGGTGTTTGTGGATCTTCGGAATAAAACAGGCTTGGAAGCAGGAGTGGCAAAAAAGCTTGCCTCTGGAAACTTTGTGAACTTGGAGAAAAGATGAAAGTTTTGTGTTCAAGACTTTAATGCATAGGGTTGCTATGGGTCATCTACAACTCTACCGCACTTAACAACAACAACAACGATAGATGGAGAAGAGATTGAGGTTGTTAATTTCAGCTTGGTTCAGCACCACAGTCAACACTCTTGGCACCAGCAGTCAGGACATCAAAAGACAAATTGCATTGGGAAAGTCTGCTGTCAGGGACCACTCTAGAGTGCTGAGGAGCAATGATGTCAGTCTGGAGACTAAGGTGCTCCTGATCCAGCTAATGGTCTTCACAGTTACATGCTGTGCATCAGAGAGCTGGATGACTAAGGATGTCAGAAGAATTGATACCTTTGAGTTTGGTGCTAGGGAAGAGTCTTGAACATACCATGAACCACCACGAGAACAAACAGCTCTGTCTTGGAGAGAGAGAAACCAGGTTTCTCCTTGGAGGCAAGGATTTTGAAGCTTCATCTCATACTTTGGGTGTGTGTCCAGGAGGGACCAATGCTTGGAGCAGGACCTTGTGTTTGGAAGGTTGAAGGGACAGCACAAGAGAGGAAGACCCTGAATGAGATGGATTGGTATGATAACTGGGGCATTGGGGTTAGATATGTTGGATTCAGTAAGACTCGCTTAGGATAAGGCAGGGTTTAGAGCTGTTGTACATAGGGTCGCTGTGAGTTGCAGGCAACTCAATGGCGCATAACAACAGCAATAATATAGCCATCACAATGGGCTCAGGTATTTTGAATATCAGCTTAAAACTTTTTGAAGTGTGTGTCGCCTCTGTGACCAGTTTGTCTTGCCAGTCGATGATTCATGGGACTTAAAAGGCTTCAGGTTGCTTGGTGGCATAGTCTTCTAGCACCTGTGTTGAAGATCTTGTGGACTGCAAAAAGAATGAACAAGCAGGTCTTGGAAAAGTGCAGCCAGAGTGCTCCTCAGAGGCACAAACAGTGACGATTCCATTTCCCATACTTGGGTCATGTTGTTAGGAGGGGCTGTTCTTGGAAAGGGACATCATAATGGCAAAGTTGATGGGTCAGCAACAGAGAGGAAGACTCTCAGTGAGATGGGTTGATACGTTGACTGCAGCAATAGGCTCAAGTGTGTAGTTGATGCGGATGGGGTAGGATGGGATAGGGCTTAGATCTGTTGTTCATTGGAGGGTTTATGAATAGTACCAACTCAAGGTAGCTAACAAAAATAGAATCCTTCTAGATAGAATGGATTCCCTGGGCCGAGAGGAAGGGCAGAAGACAGCTGGCAGGCATGCCCTACATCTTCTGCACGAAGTCACTGTAAGGCTGGAAGATGCAGAGATTGCCCAGTTCATCTGTTGTTGTAGTTGTAAAATCTCCTCGTTTTGGGGAATGTTGATTATTGGGTGTTGGTGCTGGCTCCAGCCACAGCCTTAGGGGGGTCTCTGATATGGAATATTCAGGGTTTCAGGACAACCATTACAGATTTCCCCAGGAATATTTTTGGAGGCAGCAAATTCGGTTCCAAATAAGATTGACATATCTTCCGTCCTCTTTCACTGTTGTGGTAACTTCAGGGAGCTCTGGTGGTGCATTTTGCAAGGAAATGTGCTGTTAACCCCCCCAAGGCAGCACCTCCCTGATGGCTGGGAACCACCAGTTGCTCTGCAGGAAAAAAGTGAGCCATTTCCCCCCATGCAATTTATAGCATTCCTAAACCCTGCTGGACAGTCAGCTGTGAGTCAGTACTGACTCACTGCCAAAGAGTTGAGTTTGCAGTTTTTATTTTTTCTTTTTTTTTAAAGTAATATGGTACTTTTGTTGATGATTTACATAGCAGCTTAGATTCACATTCAGCTGTGTGTACCCTGGGTGTTCAACAGAGTTGGTTAATATGCTACAGTGCAAAGACATTCTAATTGCCACTGTTCGTTCAGTTTCCATTAATCTCATTTCCTCCTCCCTCCCCTACCTCCTAAATAACATTCTCATCTTTGTAAGTGATTGTATTTTTATTTTTTTGAGTCAAGATACATGCAGGGTTATCATTGATTGCTGGTTGGATGAATATCTTGGAGCAGTTGTTGTTGTTATGTGTCGTCGAGTCGCTTGCGACTCATAGCGACCCTATGTACAACAGCCCTAAACTCCACTCTGTCCTGTGCCAATCTCACTGTCTCTGACACTCCCATCCCAATTATCCCAGTCACTGAATCAATCCACCTCATAGAGGGCCTTCCTCTCCTGCGCTGTCCCTCCACCCTCCCAAGCATGATGTCCCTCTCCAAGGACTGGTCTCTCCTTACAACATACCCAAAATATGTTAGACGGAGCCTCAGAATCCTTGTCTTCAAGGAGCCACCCGGTTTAACCCTTTCCAGGACAAATCTGTTTGTTTTCCTGGCAGTCCATGGTATTCTCAATACTCTTCTCCAGCACCACAGCTCAAAGGCATCAATTCTCCTTCTATCCTCCTTGGTCATTGTCTAACTCTCTGATGCATAACAAGTGATTGCGAAGACCATGGCCTGTATCAGATGCACCTTAGTCTCCAGAGAGACACCATTGTTCTTCAGTACTTTGGAGAGGTCCCTAACAGCAGACTTTCCCATTGCAATGTGCCTTTTAATTTCCTGGCTGCTGGTGCCAAGACTGTTGACTATGGAGCCAAGCAAACTAAAGCTGTGTACAGTCTCAATCTTGGAGCAGTAGTTTCAGGAAATCCTCCCACCTCAGCCAGTCAAGTACGTCTGATTTTGTGTAGGCATTTGGCATTCTGGTTTACATTTCTTCCCCTGTTCTCAAAGTTCCACCTGTTAAAGCCCTGATTGGAATGACTGGTCATGGGAGTCGGGCACCATCTAGCTCCTCTGATCTCAGAGATGAGGCCGTGGATCATGTACATTGTGTATCCTATAGAACAGCCACTTTGTTTCCTTGCGGTGGTATTCCTGATATTTGGGTTACCGCATACATGTTTGCCTTGGTCATGAACTTGTATGCCTGCTCTTGTCTAGTATATTTAGAAATGGTAATTTGTACAGTCCTAAGAAAAATTAAAGTCATAATCTGTAATGTTCTTTTGTGGAGTTTATGATAAAATGAAGACTTTTTAAAGAGCTTTTGGGCATGTCTGTTCTTGGTTCTCTGCATTTTCTCTGCTGAATGAATAAGCATATTTGAGGGTTCTGATTTGAAGCATACATGCTAGATTCCTGCTTTGAGGAAGAACTTGCCTCGGTTACACACCTTGTCTTCTCTTGATTGTGGCATTGGGCAGGAATGAATGATGCCAGATTGAGGAACCCTGGGGTAAGGGACCCCTTTCTTTTTTCATGTTTGTCACTTGGTGAATCCCAAGGGCCTTAACTCTTAGAATCATCATAAGGAAAACTTTTGAAATTTGTTCTTTTCCATTTAAAAACTAAAACCGTTGCAAGTTACAAGTTAAGACCGTGGTGCAGGCCAACCCTAGAAAAGAAGTGGTCCTGCTGAACCAAACTTGGCCGGTTCCCTAAGGACACACAATCTGACTCTGTTCTGTGGAAGTGATCAAACCCTTCACGGCTTGGAACCAGGCTTCACAGCACAGTTACCGTTTACCTGGGGTCCTTGGTCTTCACACAGGTCATTTGGGGAACCGAGTGTACCACAGGGGGCCTCTGGTCGGGTCAGTAGGGGGCTGCACTCCAGCCTGAGGGACATGGCTCTGTAGCCATTCCAAGGGAGAAGGATGATGGTCTCTCGTGCAATTTATAACCTTGGAAAGCCAGTGATGGCCAGTGGTTCCAGCTCAGCGTCAATGAGTTGGGTTCTTTTGTTGTTTTTATATATATATATTTTGTGTGTGTGTGTGTGTGTGTGTGTGTGTGTGTGTGTGTGTGTGTGTGTGTGCGCGCGCGCGCGCACGCGTGCATGCACAGTCAAATCAGATCTGACTGTACAGGAGGAGATTGTCCCTCCTTCTCCAGCAGAGCATCTGGTGGATTCAAACTGCACAACTCTGGGGTTGCAGTGTGGCTTCTCCTGCCAGGCCACCAGAGCTCCCTTGGTTTTGTTTTTGTTTTTGGTTTTTTTTTTAGTTCCGTGGACAGAGAAGCTTTCTCAGTCATGACTGTATTCGTTGTGTGTTCTCAATCACCCGGTGCTTTTTTCCACAAGTAAATGATCCGTCTGCGTTTGGTCCCACAGGCACTGCCCGGACTCCCGGCGCACCTTCACGAAGCGGTTGATGCTGGAGAAGCACATCCAGCTGATGCATGGCATCAAGGATCCGGACTTGAAGGAGATGGCAGAGGGCCCCAATGAGGAGGAAGTGGAAATGCAGGAGGACACCAAGGTCAGCAGCCCCAGATCTTCTCCCGGCAGCAGCCTGTGTTGGTGGCCTTTCCCTGTCATTCTGGACGTGTGTGCCTGTGTCTGTAGACTCTGTCCAGGCCATGAACAGGATATAAAATCATCGATAAACTGTCGTGACATATGTCCCAAACCCTCATCTTTCTCCTTAAAGACATTCTTTATTTTTTTTATATATATCTTTCCAGAGAAATGCTAATGATCTGCTCATAGAAGTTTTAAATTTCTTTATTGACATACTAATGGAATATGTTCAGTAGCTGCTTCTTCACTGACAGCATATGGGCCATTAGACCAAAAATCAGTTTAAACTGATGGCTGTCAAGTCAGTTCTGACTCGTAGTGACCCCACATGGCAGAGCAGAGCCTCCCCACAGTGTTCCCAAGGCTGTAATCTGTTCACACAGACTGCCATGCTCGTCTCCTGTAGAGCAGCCGGTGGGTGGGTTTGAACCACCGATCTTTCATTTGTTATCTGAGCTCTTAACACCATGCAGCCAGGCCTCCTTTTGGCTGTTATCTCCTGTAAATGAAGGGAGTCTTCTCTTTGTAACGATCGAACACAAAACTCCATGTTTGTGTTTTATTTTCTGTCCGTGGGTGCTGGATTTTAATCAGCATAAATGCGTGCTAGCGTTTGTGCACAAGTCGTTGCGTGTGCTCGGTGCAGTCCGGGAGTTAGAGGAAGCAGCAGTCAGGGAACGTGGCCCTCCTGGAACCCACATGGCTACAATACAACGCCCAGTGTGTTACCGAAGGCTCGGCCCTGCAGAAGCCAAGAAAACACAGGTCACAGGTCTCCGGATGACGCAGGGAGGCTAACTTGAAGGGAGCTAGCATTGTCCAGTGTGGCAGATGCCTCGTGGACAGGCAGAAATGGCACGCTGTGGAGGATGAAGGAGGGAAGTGTCGTTTCGCCTCGGGTTTTTGAGAAGTAGCAGTGAGGGGCTAGGCTGTGGTGGCATTTGCAGTGGGGAGGCAGTAGGAAGGAGGAGAGTAGACAGAGGCTCGCTGCTGCAAACCAGGGGAGTGCTTCATGGCCCAGGGTCCCTGGCCAGGGCCAGCTATACCGTGTGTTTCTGGAAAGCTCCCTGTGGTGTAGACGCAACACCCACCAAGGGTCTTCCTCCCTGGCTGGCTCTCTGCTTCTCCAGCCTCCTCTTAATAACTTGCCCGCCTGTGAAACCAAGTCTCCCATCCTTGCTTCTGGCTGTGCTTGTCTCTGGAGCTGGCCTTTTAATTCCTGGTTCCCACCTACTTCTGTAGTTGTAAGAGAGTGTGTTTTGTTGGGTCTTAAAGCTGCTGTCAACTAGAAGACAGATCGTTATTTTATGGGCCACCATAAAAGAGAACAAGCCTGCCAGCCATGCTGAACGGTGACAGCCCGTCAGCTGTGGGAGGCCTGCTATTTCTGGGATATTTGTGCAGAGAATGAGAACTTGATGAAACACGCTGTTTCAGATCTTTAAAGGAGCCGCACCGCGGGCTTCACCTGCATGGTGTCCCTGAAACCTCTCACTGGGGTGACCTCGGCCCCTGCCCCCTCCCTTGTCTGAATGGGGAGTTTTGAGCCCTTCAGGATTGGGTGCATTTGTCCACTGCACTCAGGACACCCTGCTCTTAGAAGCCATGAGCTCATGCACCCCCTTATTCCATCTCTGGTTCTTCTTCCTGCATCTGGCCACACCCTCCTTTGTAGTTCATGTCCTGTGTGTGGAGGTGGAATTTAATACATCATGGCTGTCCTGCATGGACAGACCACTTCTCCCTGGGGCCCCCGTGAGCCAAGCCCTCTGTCTTTTGGGCCTGTGTTAGATTCCATGACAGCTCTGGAACCAGCTGTTGGCAGAGAAGAGGATTACTCTTGGGCTCATCACAGTCCCTCCTGAAGCTGAGGGTGGACACGTTGTCAGCTCATCTGAACTGAGCGGCTGTGTGAGTGAGAGTGGAACCGGAAGAGGAGCTCTTGTTAGGAAGAATGGGGGAGGTGGCAACGCCAAGGAGCTGACTGGCGTCCCCCTGCTGCCCCAGGACCTTTGCACTGGTTATTCTTAGTCTGTGTAGGGTCCCAGCCCTTCTTGGGCTGCCTCCTTAACCTTTAGGTCTCAGGTTAACAGTCACCCTTCATGACCATCACCCTGTCGGTAGTTGTCCTGCACCTCATTCCCACTCTTGGTGGTCCACGTGTCACAGAACTTACCTATTAAAGACTGAGCTAAACAGCTGAGTGGCATCCACTTCCTAAATCACATGCCTCCAGAAACTCTATGGACTTTGATAAATGTCGATAGTTGTAGAGGGCCTTCAAGCCTTTTTGTTCATAGGGTCGCTATGAGTCGTGCTCAACTCAGAGGCAGTCAAAAATAATAAGAGGAATTGCTAGGCTCTTTTCTGCTATATGTTACAGTCTTCCCATGAGAGAATTTCATTGTCACCACCTCTCTGAGATGACAGGTCAGTCCCTCTTAGTCATAGTGAAACCAGAAGTCCCCACATTGCCCCCATGAGATGCTGGACAACTGCCGTCTGGCTCTCATCTGCCCTGTCCCCACGCTGCCCTCACACCCCTCTCCCTCCCTGCCTGGAGCATTTCCTGTTTTGTCTCCATGTGACTCTTGTCCTCACTATTGTCAGCCAGGTTACCCATTACCCAGTCCTTTCCACAACTCAGCATAACCATTGTAAACTGTCCCCCTCCTTGTCTTGTTTTCCCTGTGCCCTGCACGTCCTAATGTGCTTTTTCATTCTGTTGTGTCTGTCTTGCTCCAGGGGACCGTGAGTCCCCTGTTCACAGCTGGCCTCACTGACCAGAGCAGGGACTAGGTTCATGTTTGTGGAGAGGTTGAGAGGTGGATGGTGCCTGCACTGTCCCCAGGCAGTCCTTGGCTCGCCTCCTCTCTCTGTCTGGAGCATTTCCTGTCTTGTAGCCGTGTGGCCCATGTCCTCAGTCTGTCAGCTCTCTGTTCCAGGTTACCCGTCACCCGTCTAATGAAGGGCAGGCGTGGCCGTGTAGAACGGTGTTAGGTGCCGTTGAGTCACCTCAGCCTCCGAGTGACCCACGTGTGACAGAAGGGAACACGCCCCGCTCACTGCTCTGCTTGAGCCCCCGTAGCTGCCGAGCCTGTCCAGCTGCCTGTGGGGCTGCCTGTCTTTCGCTGACCCTCTGCTTTTCCAAGCAGGGTGCATGCTGTTGCTGTGTGCCGTCAACTGAGCGAGAGCTGACCCTCCAGTGAGTTTTCAGAGGCAGGAAATTGCATGGCTGGGGGAGTGTCCATCCTTCTTCCAGGGGGCAGCTCATGGATTCAGACAGCCACAGTTTACATTGTGTTGGCAGCACAATTCCTACCCACTGAGGCTCAGAACCAAGGTCCCCCCCAGGGATGGCTGCCTTCACCGGAGCTTCAAGCCTGAGCTGGCCAGTCCTTCGCCCAGCGCCCCTGAGCCCTTGTAAACTAGCCCTCTGTCTTGTTTTTCTCCAAGGCCCCCAGCCCCAAGCGCAAGTTGGAAGAGCCGGTCTTGGAGTTCCGACCTCCCCGGGGAGCCATCACGCAGCCCCTGAAGAAGCTGAAGATCAACGTCTTCAAGGTCCACAAGTGCGCGGTGTGCGGCTTCACCACTGAGAACCTCCTGCAGTTCCACGAGCACATCCCGCAGCACAAGTCCGACGGCTCGTCGTACCAGTGCCGCGAGTGCGGGCTCTGCTACACGTCGCACGTGTCCCTGTCGCGACACCTCTTCATCGTGCACAAGCTCAAGGAGCCCCAGCCGGTGTCCAAGCAGAACGGGGCCGGGGAGGACACCCAGCAGGAGAACAAGCCGGGCCCCGAGGACGACTCCCCCGACGGCGCCGTCTCCGACCGCAAGTGCAAAGTCTGCGCCAAAACTTTTGAAACGGAAGCTGCCTTAAACACTCACATGCGGACACACGGCATGGCCTTCATCAAGTCCAAAAGAATGAGTTCGGCTGAGAAATAGCCACCGAGCGTCCCCGGGGAGAGGTCGCTGGGCCCCTCAGCGCCCGCAGAGACGTGCTTGTTACCAAGCTTACAGTGTGACGGAGTTAACAGCTCTGTCCAGCCTGTTGCAATATATTCTCTCTCAACACTTTCCTCTCCACCTCAGGGCATCGATCCTCCATCCTAAGTATTAAAGACAGTATTTGAGTTTAAAAGAGTTTGTATATATTTAAAGGAATAACTTTTGATACTCTTTGTTACATGTTTGCATCAGTATTTAGTGGACAATGTCGGTCTTTTTTTTGTTCTTTGCCGAGGGTGGGGATTAGACTTTTTCTGTTTTGTACCACATTTCTTTACCACAGTATTCTTAGTCACAGGGCCAGTTCTGGAATTCCAAGAAATCATTTTTGTAATTTACGAATTTGAAAGGGTTAACTAATAACAGGCAGAAATAATGCCTTTTTTAGTGTTGGGTTGTTTTGTTTTGTTTTTTTAGAATTCACTACATAAATTGTAGGTAATCTTAGGTCTCAAAAACACTAGGAACTTTTTTAAGTGTCTTAGCAACTCCCCTCAGGGTGTCTGCTCTGCCCGAGCACGGGCACCCCTAGACACAGGTATGCACCTGAGACACAGGTGTGTACCTGAGACACAACCCCTGCACAGGTGCATGGGGGGGTTCAGGGCCTCACCATACAGTGTTCAAAGCAGCCTGGCAAGTTGATTCTCCCTGGGAGTGGGTGAACGTACACCCCAGTACAGAGGATGGGGTTCTCAATTTAGAAGAGTAAGCAAGGAATGGTGTTAGGGCAAAAATGAGGGACTCTTCATTGCCATTCCTATGGTCCCTAT